CATCGTATAAGTAATTCATCGTATTTTTCTTCGTACAAGTAACTCCTGGCGTCTTCCTCCGTATAATAGTAATTCATTGTATCTTCCTTTGTAGTTGGGTATGTGAAGGATCCCTAACTCTCTGTGATAGATCCATCACATAAGATCAGAGTACATGAGCGAGTGAGTCCGTCTGTCTCTCTCCCACAATACGACCTCTGTACTAACTACATTCAATTAAAGAATACGACCTCTTTATCTACAACATTCAATTAACGGCTTTACAACGTTCAATTAACGGCTTTACAGCGTTCAATTAACGGCTTTACAGCGTTCAATTAACGGCTTTACAACAACATTCAATGAATGACGGCACATCAATCTGTCCTTTCATGTTAGCACCTGCTGAGAGGATGTGGCACGAGATGCAACAGTACCGGCAGAAGCTGAAGAAACTACGTCAGAAGGGACAGTCAATGGTGAGAAGTTGAAGAAACGACGTCAGAAGGGACAGAGTCAGTGATGATCTCTTGGTTTTCTTTCTTATGGTGGGGCACCGACAAGGGAGTGTAATAGACAGGGGAGTGTAGGCAAGGGATAACGTAGGATCAATCTCGTCAGACATGTGAGGAACGTTTGGATAACAAAGAACTACTTAATGTGGCTAAATTACATTGCAAGAACTTCTAGGTGATTCAATATGAATATCGGACAACCTCTAGAGATTTAGCCCTTCCAACAATATGAATATCGGACAATTCCTTCGGAAAGATGTCATCATGCATGGATTCCAGAAAGACAAAGCGAATGATCACATAATGTGAGTTTATGATTGATACTAGAAATTTAAGAACAAAGACATGGTGATAGAGATGACCAACATAGAGATACAACTAGAGGAAGGTACTCGGGTTGACATATCTGTAGACCTAAAACTGAGTTGACCTAAAACTGAGTAGACCTAGATTTGCAATTTGCCACGCCTGGTCGAGCAGACGCAAGCGTGTGTAGATGTAAATGAAATATGTGACTCATTGGTTTGTACTATCTATCAACAAATTGATGTCGTCTATAACTCAACAAACATCGAGAAAAGCAAGCAGTAGGTTTAAACGATCCAACATTTAGTGCTGCGGAGATGAATAAATGTGCTCTGCTATCTAAGTAACTTACTTACTTACTTCCACTACTAAATTGATAGATCATATAAAAAGAGTGAAAGAAATCCGCTACTAGAAGTTGACTTCTTCAGTTTTGCAGTCGACTTTCAATAAAATCTTGTCTCAATGATCGTTGTCCATGATGAGGCTCAGCGAAAGAATCAGCGAAAGAGGCCGTTGCCCACTGGGCCACTACCACTGCCTCTGCTCGCAAGGGACAGTGACAGGGGTAAACGCGTATGCATACATCACACACGACAAGAAGGAGCTTGTTGTGAGCTTGTTGTGTAGGCGTTCCTCTAGGCATGGATGGGAGGAGTTTGCAATGTATGAGAGGAGTTCGCTATGTATGTGGGTATGCTAGCTTGTGTTTTTTATTATAGTTTCTTACTGCGTCCTGTATACTAAATATTGTAAGAACTACAACATCCAAAGTAGATTCGATTGGCGTGCATTAGAAGTTGTAACTATTTTTAATACTTGTGGTTGTGGGATTGGGATATTTTCTTTGGTAGCTAGATGAAGCAAACATAAATGGCGCATTGACTTGTCTAAAATTTCTTGCATGGAGTTATGATGAATAATTAGCTTTATTCTTCGTTTCTGACACAACTGACTACCCACGCTGCTCACAGGGTGCTGAGTGGATGTACTTGTTAAATGTGACTTCTAGAGAATCAGACGGCGGGCGAGGCCCAAGCTTTGGCCTCCAGTTCCCCTGGAGACTGAACACGGTGCTTAATCGGAGCATCTTGCGGTTGGAACATCTCTTAGCGATCAACAACTACCTATGTTAGCGAGTGCATTGATTCTTCAATCACGTTCATGTCTGCCTTAACGATTTATTTTCCTTACTATGGTGCATTCAAGCTAGTAGATTTTGGAGAAACAACTTCAGGATGCGAACAGCAGGACTCACAAAACTATCAAGGAGGACTAGTGCCTATGTTGGTACCAGGAGCACAAGTGAGCACATTCCTAAAGAACACACTTGAGTAAGATCTTGTTCATACTGAAAATTCTGAATTTAATACTTAATATTTTCAGTAACTAAGTATTGTATGCATCACGTGTGAAAGCGTTCTGGTGTCAGAGTTGAGTTGTCACCACGTGTGGCGGCGCTGCCGAGGTGCCGTATACTGCCAACATACTTACATTAAGTCACAGCATGTAAAAAAGACTGATCATGCGCGGTTGTAAAAATCTACTACTGATGTGTTGTAAAAAATTTGAAAATTATGCTTGAACTTGATTCCTGTACTCCTTTTTTTCTATGGTGGCGACGCATCATTTGGTTGTAGCACCACAGTCTGTGACTCAGGGGGTAAATGTAATCATCATCCACCACCGAATTGTGATCCATCTTCGGTCGCTGCGTTCTCAGCTAACGTGCATCGGTCAGATGGATTTTACTGTATGACGACAAGTAAAATCGGTCGTCATACCTTATCGGATGTACAGAAAGTCTGTCAATCTGTGATTGGTCCATTGTAAGTCCTTTTTAGTATGATGACAGTAGCAGAATAGAGTCCCTTCAGCGATCATACCCTCGTCTTTCGAATTTTTGGTTGATGTACTTTGATACCTGATATCCTAGTACCCATTACCCGCCCAACGTTCATAAATAGGCTTCCTTGCCACAGACTATCTGTCTTTACCTCGAAGGACAAAACGATTTTAGTAGTAGGTGTCGCAGTACGTATGAGGTCTGCTAGCTTACTCGGAGGATCAGAAGGAAGGACGATAAGAAATATTACGAGACGTTGTAAAACATGAGCAATTCTCCTATGGCCTTTCCAGAGCCGTCAGAGGATTCCTGGGGAGCCCTTGCCGAGCAACGCGAGGGTGATTCTGAATCAAGCGACGACGCTGCTGAAGAGGACAATTATGTTGAGGGGATGAAAGATGCTCTTCGTGAAGACGCTTCTAAACAAGACCTCGCTTCTAAACAAGACCTCGCTTCGAAACAAGACCTCGCTTCGAAACAAAACCTCCACGATCAGGAGAACGATGAAGATGGTTTTCTCTCAGATCATCGAGCTTCCTCAAGTGGTCGCGGGACTTCCTCTGGTGGCCACATGTTGGAAGGATCATTGCCACCGCCTCCTCGACGGGTTATACCACAAGCAGAACCATCTTCCGGCCAGGGATCGCTTTTATTAAGGCAGTCAAGAGAGCATCCTCACCCTCAGGCTCAGCAGTATCCTCGCCCTCGGCATCATCACTGTTGCTTTTTTTTTCGAAATAATGAAGCATGCATTTGTTATTTTTTTTCGAAAAGGAAACCAAGGATGCACTCAGGGATGCGAACGCGGTAGCTCTAATTTTAGGCCCTCCTCCGCCTCCTCCTGCTATGGTGTCTCCGCCACCTAGGGGCTTGCCTTCTTGGGCCGAATCGTCGGAGGAGGATGCGAGGTCTCCATCGATACTTGAGGATGACGAAGAAGGCAGTAGTGCTGATCACACACGTGGGGACGGGGACGCTGGCGCATCATCTGAGAATTATATTACAACAGGGGAGTTCGGTGCCGTAGCGGGAAAATCACTTTCACCAAAGGATGCGTCACGAGGACGAGCAGCTGCTGCCAAGAAAGGTCTACGTTCAGGGAAAGCGCTAGCGGCTTCTGCAGCAGCTTTGAATGGCAACAAGTCCTCCACTGTACTTGATGAGGAGAATAGTACTAAGGGACCTCTGAACAAGTCCTCCACTGTACTAGATGAGGAGAATAGTACTAAGGGACCTGTGAAGACAACTAGTACCCTGATTGCACCGAAACAAGCGGCTGTGGGCGCGAAGCAAAGCAGACCGAAGTCTGCCGCAGCGAACAAGATGCGGAAAATCGGTCTTGCTGTGGCGATGTTTGGGAAGTCTAAACCTACTTCAGCAGGCAAGCGAAACTCTGACCCACTGCCTCGAGGAAGTGCGCACCAGTTGGACGACGACAAGGCCAGAAGGACTGCTGATCAGGGTCATGTTGGGCAACCAGCAGCATTGGGTCCGGCGTCTTCGGATGACACAACGGATTCGCCATTGGAGTTATCGGGGTCACAATATCAGGAGGTGGAGGTGGAGTGCACGAGCGTGCAAGAAGCAAAGAGCGACCGGACTATACCTGAAGCAAGAATTATACTAGAAAATTCTCGTACACTTCTACCGGTCTTGGCAACAAAAACTCCCGTGGTATTGGCAGGAGGAACAGGAGGCAACTCCCCTACACCGCCGCTTGGTGGGGGTTCGGTACTGAGTAGAGACATGCCTGGCAGCGGAGCGGGTGCTTCAGCCTCTGTTGTAGGACCAGATGACATGCCTGGCAGCGGAGCGAGTTCTTCAGTCTCTGTTGTAGGATCAGATGAGGAGGATCGGGTGTTGAAGGATGTGCTTGGATCGAGCTTTGATGCGTTTTCCTCAGCTTCTTCGTCTGCATCATTGATAAACATGATCATGGATGTGGACACGAATGTTGCAACACGTGAATCCGATTCAGTGGGCGTCGATGTGAGCGGTCGTGGCAGGGGAGCAACGAGCGATTCTACGTCAATACGCGAGGGTCGCAAGGGACGCCGACGACGGTCATCTCTTCTAGTCGTAGAGGCACTTGGTCGACTGCTCTCGTCACGAAAAAGGGGAGCAAGACCTTCTGCTGCTCAGCAGCAGCGCTCACCAGGGACATTATACCAACCTGTGGAGGATCAGGACGAAGGAAAGAACGGCTTCGAAGATACAGGAACAGCGACCGAAGTAGCACGTACCGGAAGCAGCTTCCGGAAGGTCAGTGACAAAAGGCTATTGCGAGTCATCGCTGGAACTTTTCTTCGACGGCGAAAGCGAGAAAGGCCACGGGTGCTTGAGAACGGTGCACGTGCAAATCCTGGACAAGAGCTAAGTGCTTTTAGCAGTTTCCAGGACAAGAAACCTTCACAACATCTCCAGGATCTCAGAGTGGATCATCTCAGTCCTAATGCACCTGTAAATGAACTAACCCTTGACGCAACGGTTCTACTAGAGGACTGTCCGCAGAACAAGTCGGAGGCTTTGCTCAGAGGAGAAGGGAGATCAGTACAGGTATCTTCTTCGAAGATTAATATTTCTAGAGAGGAGCTTGACCTTGAGCTTCGCAAAGTAAATACCGTTGGCGTTGCAGATGACATACTGTCAAGGCAGGAGGACCCACTAATTTGTGAACTGGAGTCTCGTCCAGTGTCCCCGAACGCTTGTCTTTTCAGCCTTCCTCCCAGCTCAAAGGAAGCAAAGATCGGAGCTGAGGTCGAACAAGAGCATGGGCCTGAACGCGATGGAGCTTTTTTCCACCGTTCAGGGTCGTCAAAACAGGAAGTAGTTGCAATAGGTCCTTCTGCGCAACCAGGAGCTACTTCTTCGGAACGACAACCTGGAGCTATTACCACTGATAGTTTCATCTCTGAACAAACTGTAGTAGCTGCAGTGGTTTCCGACGTTAGCGGAGTTTCACCAGTGAAGGTAAGTGGTACAGGCGATTCAGGTTCGACTGCAGACGATGGGACCACGTCAGTGACGACACTGCGAGGGGAGCCTTTCTCGCAGAGCAGTGCTTCTGGGGTTTTCGGCGCAACTACACTGGCAGAGGAAGAGGAACACTCTTTGACTAACAACTCGACGAAGAAGGGAGGACCAGTTGTAGTTGCTTCCACTGAAAGCAGGGTCTCTTCTAAGTCAAAGCTTGTAGAGGAGAACTACGGACCTCCTGTTACTGGTACAACGAGTAAGACCTCCGGCCATCCTGGGACTCTTTTAGCAGGTCGTGGTGGATTGAAGCATTCTGTTACCTTCGTGCCCGCTCCTCCGCTCCCGCCAGACGAGGATAGGCGTATCGCGCAACCTCGACGCAGCTCTTCCAGGAGCACTACAGCAGAACCTTTGCCTCCGCCACTGACAGCAGCAAGCGCACAGGAGAGGCAAAACGAGCTAGCCGCAGATCCTGACGCAGATATCCGAGAAGTAAGGCTGGAACAAGAGCGCCGACAGGCGGAATACGAGCGGCGCCTGTGGGCCAAGGACAAGATCGTGAAGCGGTGGCGCAGCAATCGCTACGCGCGAAAGATCAGAGAGCTTATCCGATCCAAAGACCGCATGTCGCAAATGCAGAGGGATGCAGAACGAAGGGCACAAGCGAAACAAAGTCTCTTCAAGATGCTGGGCGACATCAGTTCTGGCTACTACTATGACGAGGCGCGCGAGGAGCGGGAGTCCAAGCGATTCTTCGGGTACATCAACAGTTTGGACGCAAATACTGTGGCTCAACTGCAGACACCGACGCGGACTCCAGCATCTTCACAAGAAGCACAGAAAACCGCTACCACTTTGACGAGGTCCTCGGACGACACTGAAGATAAAGTCGAGGCTGAGTGGTTGTGGCAGGGAATGAATGCGAGGCGCAAGCGTGCGGCTGTAGTGTCACCACGGACGTCGTCGAGGACTAGTGCTAATGCAAATGTTGTTGAGGTAAAGGACGAACTACCAATTCGCATTTTGGATCATTATTGTCGAGTGACACACACAGCGGCACGGGAAAATGGTGCTATAATACAGCGGACTACATTTTTGAGATGAAGCCAAGAACGTCTCTGAGCAGACGTGAATGCTTCTTTTGTAGAATTGGATGCCTTTCCGTCACAAGTAGATGAAAAGTAGTACATTTTTTTCCAACCATTGTTTTGTGGGTACGAAAGTGTAACTCGATTCAGAAGAGCAAGCATCGGCTGGATGTTCCCTCGTTTCGCACCACAAACTTCGTATGATCGAAATCGGGCATATGATCGCAAACGGACGCTAGAAAACTCCTTCAACTTGGAAGAAGGCCATAAGTAACGCGGTATCGCAAGTAATCGGAAAAAGAACTACAAGAACCTCCTTCCCCGAAAGTAGGGAGAGTAAGAAATAATTTAGAGTCTTTTTTTTTGAATTGGCTGAGTCAACCGTGGTAAGTAAGAAAGCGCCAAGTACTTACAAGTGAGCTAGTCACACTCAGTGTTGGAAGAGATGTTGCCAAAGGCGCGTGACCTGCATCGCTACGACCCCAAGAAGGCAACGTCACGACTCCAAAGTAAACGGTTGCATCTGAAAAAACTCGAGGCACGAATTTCCGCAAGGGCTAAGGAGACAGCATGGCGCGAAAATCTAAGCAAACGAAAACAGCAAGAAGAGGAGGTAATAGTCTCGAGTTCTAGAGGTCCTGACTCGTGCGCCTTGATTTGTAAGTATGAGTAACATCTTAGTTTTTTTTTTATTTTGACCCTCATACTTAGACTTACGTTCTTAGTATACCTACGCCGACCCAGACGTTTCGCCGCAGCTTCTGGGTAGTAGTAGAATAATTACATCTCAAACCATACTTAAATTTCTTGACCACGACAGGACGACTCCGATTCCGAGAGTGACAGCGAGCAGCGCATACGACAGTATGAAAGCGTCTTACTGGATACGAGTTACTTCCTAGATGACATTGACCAATGGGGCAGAGAGGCGTCTGACATTGATCGCAGCGAGGAAGATTCGGTCGAGGAAGAGGAGGAGCCTAAGCCCTGTGGTGAGGGAAATCAGAATCTTCTTGGAGGTACTAGTACTAGAGGAGGAGGAGGAGGAGGTACAAAACGGAGGAAATTCTCTACGACTTCGTCGAGCAGTGAAGTAAAGAACAAGAGGACCACGGGTGACGAGCACCAAGCGACAACAGTCAATAAGGCTCAACTTTCAATGGTCATTGGGGTTGGTCACTGAGATCGAAGAGGCGACCCCTTCTTGAGAGAACCATCAGGGGAAAACGAAGGGAAAGGGGAGAGCTTTGAAGGGGGTCGCTTCCGTTCAGAGTCAGTGACCAGTGAATTCCGAGCTTTAAAATCAATAGTGGAAGAACGGCCTCCAGTGGGGGTACTGGTGGGACAACTATTAAGGATAATACGTCAACGTCAGCGAAATTGGGGACATCCAATGTCGGAGCGCGTATCGACGAGAACAAGAAGCGAGTACAGCTATCTGATTATTTCGAAGGTTGCGCCACTTTGCATGAGCTCGTTATAGCAGAAATGCGCGGTTATTGTCCTCTTGTCTGCAGCGGGTACAAAGCGTCGATGTTCAGAAATAAGGTTGAAGATCATACGTCGAAGTCGGGAGATGATGGGGACGAAAGTGGAGATAGTTCAGGGGGTGAACAAGGGACAAATGAAAAGAGCTCAAGAAGAACCTCGTCTTCTACTACCAACGAGAATAAAGAAGTGCAGAGCCAGAAGGAGAGGAAAGATAAACCATCTTCTTCTAGTACGTCTTCTTCGTCTAAATGGGTACGCGTGGATGCATCCCGATGGCCTAAGGGAGTCCGAGTGACACCTCTCTGGATGCGCAAAGAAGTGGTAGAGCCGACACTTACAAAGATAACCGGCTATCTGGAGGAGCGGAAGAAACGGATTCAAGAATTGTAGAATATCTAGTTACAGATGAGATTATGCGGTAGAGCAATGATTGTGATTTTTGTGCATAATTAAAGGCATGGGCTCTACGCACGGCAAGCGTCGTTACTTTGAACTGGACTTTATGTCAAAACATATCGTTTGTCGGCCGCGTTGGCCAAAGTTTTGCGTGGGCGTTTACACAGAAATGAAAATGTCAGATTTTGCCACACCATTAGTTTTTTATAAAGAGACTCCAACTCCTAGGTCAATTTTCCGAGAACTAACACTAGTAAGCGAGTCCCTAACTGCAGCAGAGCTTGATCCATTTTTACTCTCGACTTTTTGGTTCCTGCGAAATGAGGATGCAATGTGGATTTTATTTCGAAGAAAGTGCTCATCATAAGAACGCAAGAACGGAGGAACACCTACGGCTCCATCGTCACGTCTTAAAGACGCTCCTTGTTATCCCGTGTCGAGGCAGTGTAGTTATCAAATCGGTCTAGAGTCAGCTCTTATTAAAAAAAAAATATAACGAGTGTCTTGACGAAGGCAAGGCGGGGATGTTAAGATCTAAGTCGTTATTACAGCGCATCATACATCGGTATCTGACTTTGACATCTACTGCGAACTGACTTTTCCTGTGCGCCTAGAGTAGGAATCGCTGCCGTCTGCGACCATGTTGACGACGCGGCCAGCATGCTCCTTGTGTGTACTTAAGCTGATAGTATCATAATCATGCCACCCGCCAGTGCAAGAGTCAGCGCGAGTGCTGCAGTGGCGAGGTGGCACACCCCGGTTCTTGAGAGGAAGCCACTGACGCAGTTTGTTTCTTTCGATGAGTTCAAAGTATTCGTCAGAAAGTTGGGCTTCACTTGCAGCAGGGACTTTCAAAAATGGAGCTCGTCATCGAAGCGGCCTCCATTTATCCCGTCAACGCCTAACAAGTACTACAAAAATGAAGGATGGAAATCCTTTATGGACGCATTAGGATACGACTGGCCGCCAGTGCGCACCAGCATCCTAGCGTCCCAAAGGACGTACAAGAACAGGCAATTCCGGAATGCACAGAAAGCAGTTGACTGGGTGGAGAAAACGATCCTCGAGCTAACGGGAGGACGATTCGAGGTGTATCCCGTGCCTCGCTTCGGGCGAGTGAGCTTCCTTCTGCGGAAACGACGATCTGTGCAGAGAGGCGGAGATGAGCAGCTGGATGATGCGTGGTGGGCGCTTCGGGTCAAGAGTGCTGCAGATAGGTGTAAAAAAAGTTCCAAGAAGCGCGAAAGTTTCATCTTCTGCCTCAAGCAGGCCCTTACCGAATCCGATGTTGGCTTCGTTGCCGCCGGACCGCAATTTCAGGAAATCGATTTTCTTCACCCGGCGGACCTTCCATTGCATGTCTCGAAGAGAAATCCTAGCGGATGCTCATGGTTTTATCTGGCTAACATGCCTGTAGTGGACACGGAAGGAGGCAGACAACGAGTTGTGGAACGACTTTTGGCTCTGCTCGATCGATTACCTACGAAGCCTCTGCAGGAATGGCTGGCTCATTTACCTGCAAGTTGGGGCAGCGAATTGCGCCATCTTCTCGCGCAGCAGCTGATTTCGAATCTGCTGAGGCCCGCTGGTCTCAGCTTCGCTCATGCAGGAAAGTTGGCGGAGCTGCATAACGCGGTTATTGGTGGAAAGCGCGTTCTGCTCAGATGTGCGCGCATCGTGGAAGAAACAGGAAAGTCAAAAATCGTTTTGGAACGGAACCGTCGCACTTGTGTTTCGGCCGATGGCAAAAAGCTTCTCTGTGGCGTTCCGTTCGACGCGTCAGATGAAATAGATTTTTTGCTTGCAATGATGTACTGCGGCGAAGGCGACAGAGATCCTTCGGCCAAATTAGACGGCGTTTTTGTGTTTCCAAAAAGCCTTTTGATTGACATGGGGGTGATGTCTGTCGACTTCAAAGGCGGTCGCTTTGGCTTCGCTCTCTATCCGCCGGGATGCGCTCCACCGCATGATAATCGACGGGAGCGCGCGCTGAAGCAAAAGGAGTTCTACTTTGCACTGCCGCAACAGGGGGATCAGCGTCTGTCGAAGGCTGAGACTGTTGAGGAAATGCGGGAACGCATGAGAGCGCTTTTCCTCGGCAATTATGACAATTATCCCGGTAGCGTTTCGACTTCATGTCCTCTGATTGCTGATGAAAATGAAATGGGAGGTATCACCGTCGACGATCAATAATCACCTTCCGAATATCTGATATTTTGCTAAAGTTCGTACTGAGTGTGGTTTAGGATTTTTATGCTCAGCCTGCGCTGAGTGAGAAGGGGACCACTACCAAAGCGGTCTCTTCTTTTTCGGTGGCCTGTAAAAAATCGAATTTGATAGCTGCGGATCAGCGCTTCCTGCACGAATGCACTGCAAAAAGCAGACACAAATTTATGGTGTTGGGATTTTGCGTCCGGAGTCTGCAGGGTGCGCATCACATAGTGACCACGACATCGCAGGAGGATCATTCTGAGAGTGCAGAATTGGGAGCATGTAATCTGTCTCGGGCCTACCCAGATCTATTTAAGTTGGAAAATTATTACAGGAACATGATCTCAAGAGCACTTTGGGACTACTGTAATGTATCCCATACTCAGATGGATCTATTGAGAGTAGTGCAGTTTCGGTAAGACTTGAAGTGTGAGGGTGTGAGTTGAAATTTTCTGTACACATAGAGAGCAACGAGTGGTAGTGTTTCAAATGAGTATTTGCATCTGGAGGCGGACGAGAGTTGAGCCCTTGTATCGCGGATCAGTGTGCCATTCTATTGAACGACTGACCACTTACGAGTAGTAACACGAACATGAAATACTAGAGAATCCCAAAACGTCATTTGCATCATCATAATTTTCCCCACACAGTGCGACGCTTTAATTGTTGTACTTTGATGATTACACATCCACAAGCACTTTCTGTTTGATCGTTTTTGGTCGCATAAACGTTGACGTTGATTTTAACAACTTTGATTTTCGTTTTTAGACAGCGAGTCTCATATTCCTTCTTCTACTCTTTCGCTTGCTTGTATGCAATACTCCGCACCTGCTTGTTGAGCTAACATTTTCAGTTCCCTTTACAACTAGGATTCTCTATTCCAATTTTCAGTTACCTTATCCTATCTTGTTAAGGATGTCGTCACTGCGTTCCAAAATGTCTTTGCTGCGTTTAGTCTCTGTGCTAAACTTTACCGCGGCCAGTGTCTTCGTCGCTGCTGCTCCTCCTTGTACTCAACCATGCGAGGACCAGTTCGTAAAGTGTGTGACGGTGGATAATTTCAGCTACACTTTCTGCAGTGGCGAGATCACTGGGGGGAACCCGAACAACCCTATGGGCCGTGCCGGTTGCGTCGCCACCTGCACATTCACTGCGACGATGCTCAGTCACCAAGGGTCTAGCGGCAGTGGAGGAGGTTCTGGTGGAGGTTCGTCCTGTACTGCTGGCCCTGTGGTGTCCGCCGGCGGCACCAAAGTCGCTGCGACCACACAGTGCTACGTCATCGGGGGCCGCAATGTGCAGGTGTCGGTGCCAAGCGGAAGTTCGGGAACCACAGCCTTTCCGTTGCTGTTCTTGTTTCACGGCAATGGTGGAACCGGAAACGGCATGATTCGCATCTTCACCTAAGGCTGAATATAGCTCATTTCTACGTGTCACTCTTCTCTGTTTCTTTCCTAGGAGACCGAAAGTAGATGAACCTAAGAAAGGAATTCTTTTGAGTTCTAATTCACAAGCGCAGCGACGCAGGGTGCTACCAAGATCAACAACGCTTACATTTTGGTTGCCCCAGATGGGGAGTCCAAATCTTGGAACATCGTTGCGGAAGCTTCGAACCAAGACGATGTTGCCTTTGTTAAGGCTCAGCGTTCAATGGTCATTGGGGTTGGTCACTGAGATCGAAGAAGCGACTTCCCCTTGAGAGGAGAACAGGGGAAAAGGAAGGGAAAGGGGAGAGCTTTGAAGGGGGTCGCTTCCGTTCAGCATGAGTGACCATTGAATGCTGCGCTTTAATTTTGTGACGCAAACTCTGCTGAACTATTTCTCGACCACGTTCTCCAACGCCAATGCTGCTCATGCTGAGATGCTTGGGCTGTCGAACGGTGCGGCTCTGATCAACCGCATTCTAATCGAGAGCAACGAGCCTCGCATTCTTGGCGCAGTCACTGGGGTGTCGCAACTCAATACGCATCAGTATAAAAACGGGAACTTCTATCTCGGAGGATCTCCGAACACGTACACCACTGTCCAACCGAACTTGTACAAGAGGAGACTGATGCAGATAACGGGCGCCCAAGATGTGGTGATCCCAGCGGGTGGAGGCCAGAGTACGATCCCAGCGGGAAGCAATGGCGAGAAATTACAGATTTAAGGGTTCGTCCCGCATTGCATTCTGTAGTACCTGCATCCTTAATGAAGACTTTTGTTCAAAAGAAAATCCGCCAGGGATGTTCTGAAGAATGCAATGCGGAAGCCTCCAACAGATGCTCACGTGGGAAGAGTCGCTTTTCCGATATGCTGTCGCATACGGCTACACGGGGACGCAGAAAAGTGCCAGCGTCACCTCCGGGACCAACAGTTACAAGTTAAGGCCTTAGTTTATCACTATCTTCCTCGTGGACTATATCTGCTGAGTGAGTGGAGTCCCCTCCTCTCTTTGATTTCTCAAAGCGAAAAGAAACTAAGGGGAGCAAGGGAGGCCTCACTTAGCCAGGTATAGTGAAAAACTACCTCTAAACAAGTCAACGAGCTACACTACAGATGGTGTGACAGTTCACGGCTACAATTACGACAGTAAAGGGCATGCAAACGCTGTTGATTTGAACGATGCTGTCCAAGCGGATTTTCTTGCAGAGTTTCTATTGGCAACAACGACTACGCGTGGTGTGACAGCTTCTCCTTCGAGTGGTGCGCCATCTCAGAACACGCAATCCGCTGGATACGCTTCCAGTGCGTTTGGAAAAGGGCAATCGATGACCGCTTTCGGTCGGCTTTGCACTCTCGTCGCAGGGGGTTGGGCCGTTGTGTTTTTTTCGCTGAGGTTATGAATTGCTTGTCGGTAGGCTAGTACCACCTACGTAGTGCTACTTGAGACGCCGTGATGCTGATGATCAATCTATCGCACTCTATAGTATGTTGAAGAAAAGAAGGCTCACTCTTAGTGGTGTAACCACTTGATGTCATGGGATGTATTCGCGCAAATCTAGATAGTGAGAAGACGAAGAGGTGGATGATGAATACCACATCGAACAAGACGCTACATTAAAAAATGATTACTTACACTTGTGGACTTTTTTGCATGCTCTTTTGCACGACATATATTCGATTAAATACCCTGTGACAACGGTTTCCAATAGGGGAAGACCGTATGATTTTGCTTTGCTGTCTTGGTCGGAGATAGAATTATCAAGTTGAGAGTTTGGAGGTTAAGATTCTTCTTCGTGAAAGGAATTCGCTGTCGATATTGAAAAATGTATGAGGCCGCAAAACGAACGCGCTATAGGGCGAGCTATTTTTCGGTCGTATGATCGTGATTCATAAGAAGAGCATTGTGGTAGTGTAATGTCGAAACGGTAGAAAAGTGCTCTGCTTCGTCTTCGTGTCTTATCCTGATCGTTTAGGTGTAAGAAAAAAGTCGGACCCTTTTGCAAAAACAGAACTACAACAGAACTGCATCTTCAGTCAGTGCAAGCAACTAGTAGTTTTTCAGCATCGCTTTACCGTTTCAGTAGTTTGAGACAAAATGGATTGCAAGTGCAGCAGCGTCGCCTTCACTGGCTCCACTCGTGACTCATCGTCTTCTGCAGATGCAGTAAGCCTCAGACGAAGAAGACGAGATCATGAATCGACTGTAGCAACGTCGATGAGCTGCAGTGGAAGAGGCATAGTCGCACTGACATCAAAGTTGTGGTGTCTTTCTTCGCAGCTATTTCTTTTGCACAGCACGACCACGCTAGTAGAGGTTTCGGCGCAGAGGGATGACGCCGCAGCTTTTCGGCCGACTGCAGGATGGACGCAGGGAAGGAGCCCCTATCTCGGTCGCGAAGCGTCCGTGCATCCGACGTGGCTCCGCACAGAAAAAGGAGACGCATTGGCAGAACAGTCATCACATCATAACAGCCACATGTGGCCACGGTTTATCGGCATTGGCGACGGCGACTTTGAGGCAGAAGCGGGATGGGTCACGGTCGATCAGCAAGCAAGTGTTGCCAAATGCGGAGTGACGTCGACGAATCTAGGGGAGCAGCAGACAGAGCAATATTATGTTCCACAACTACTAGTTGTACTAGAGTTAGATTAGAAGAATGCAAGTTTGTTGAACTAAGTAAACAAGATGAATCTAAGTATTGGTATCCAATGAGTATGTTTAATTGTGACTCCTCAGTTGAAGTCGAACACCAACAAAAAGTAAAAAAAACACCTCCGTAGTATGAGTATCGTATAAAACAAACTAAAAGTAGCATTGTTCTCGCACCTCCCCTTTGAAGCGACTGCTCACTAGCCCTTGTTCATTCTTGCCTAGTCCCTCCCCTGTGAAGCGACTGCTCACTAGCCCTTCTTCATTCTTGCCTAGTATCCGGATTCCGAAGGAAGGGCCTTGGAGTCGCTGCCGATTGGGAGATGGCCTGTCAGAGACGGGATGTGGATTACTCAAGTCCCGCGTCCTTCGCGATGTATCCTATGCAGCTAAAGAAAATCGAAAATGGCGGAATCTACGGACGATGCTTCGACAAAGGGTACTTGGAACTATTACTACTAAATAGTACAAGTTAAAGTTTATTATTGTACGGCTATAGTATAGTACAAGTTCAAGTATAAGTGTACGGCTATAGTATAGTACAAGTTCAAGTATTATTGTACTTGTACAATACTAGAGTGCAAGTTGTAATTGTAGTAGAGTACAACAGTGCGTCTGGATCCTCCGAGTACTAGGATGACCCTCTCCCGAGATGAAATTTTAGAAAAACAACCTACTGGAAGTTATTTTAGTTCATCCCACATCTCATTCTCAGGTTCGTGGCCATGATCAGTTTGCATCCAGTTTTGGAGCTTTATTGCAAGACAGGCTTCCCTGCGTATCGAGCAACGCACGAGCAGACGCACCGCAACTACAAATATGGGGGATGGATCAGTATAGTTCCTGAACAAGAGAGTGTTGTGTGCTTGTCGTTTTTCGGATTTTTATAAAATCGTAGATATAGTGTTTGTGCTTGATTTTTAAATCATTTCTCTGCTTGATTACTAAACCACAAAGAAAAGGAAAACCATAGTTCATACGTGAATCACAACATCAACCATCCTCCAGCTTGCGACACGTTGATGGTTCCGTCTGATGCCGTCAAGCTCTTCAGTCTGGAAGAGGCGATAAGCCGAGGTCGGTACAACCCAGTGACGTCCACTGAGTGGGTCGGATGCTCGTGTCCCGCACAAGAGTATATGTGGGCGTACAAAGCCTCACGACGCGTCGTGGACGACACAGAACTACTATCGATCGAAATCAAATGCGCGCCAGGTTTCTAGTGGTAGGACATTTGCAAGTCTTCAGGGAAATGTTAAAGTTTAAGCTTTTATTACCTAGTCAGTAATGAGGAGTAATGGTAACGAAGTAGGAGTTTCGAACACGCCAGTAGTACTGAATCAATTCGAAGAATGCTTTTGGCAAACTAAAAAAAGTGTCATATTCATGTAAGGTTCCAGGAAAGTATCCTTCCTTTGAAGTACTTATAATAAGTAATAACGCAGTTCTACGCTGATGCATTATACTGCAATTTTGCCAATGCTGAGAATCAATGAACAAGTAACTTTTTGTGCTATTGTGTCGCAGAAGGAACTAGAACTGACTCAGTCGCAAGACTGAAGATTCTCTCCTGACAAAATTCGCGTGATCTAAATTTTTGCATGAACAAGCAGATCCACGAGTGCTGGCGACTGAGGGATGTTCAGCACAGGCACTTTCTGTGGAGGTACTTCTGTCAAGCATTCTGGTGCGTGAGTGAGGGAGTGAAGTTCTTTTGGTACGATGTTCTTGAGAGAGTAGTTATAGAGTCTTCTACAGTTATAGATTTAGTCTAAGGGTCTACTTCCACACACACCAGAGGAGGTTCTGACCTAGTCTTGGCTTGTAGACGAGAAGGTGGTGGTAAGAGGGACACACAAAAGATGAAAACTCTGATTTGAGAAGAATACCTGTTGAAAAAAGAGTCTGCTCATGGAGGTGTTATGGCGGAGAGGTGAATCTACGTCGTCGATAAGAATACCTGTTGAAAAAAGAGTCTGCTCATGGAGGTGTTGAGATGAACCACGTTTTTTTTGAGAGAACTTTTTGCAACTGCACTAGCGGAGAGAGATGTTGAAGATACGTCTTTGATTGCCCTGGCGTAGAGGTGAGTCTACGTCCATCATCGTAGGTATGACCCCTTGTCCACCAAACATTTAAAATTGTCCCCCATTCTTGTGAAACCTGAAATATTGATGCAGTAAGTAATCGTCTTCGTGTTTTTTTTAATGTCCCTCAGAAATCGCGAATTCTAAGATGATTTTCTGCCAGCTTCTCTAATCAAAAAGAACTTCAACTTTCAAGATAATTTTCGAAAAAAATAGATCAATCAATCGTGGATTCTCACTCGTTGTTGAAAAACTAAAGTGTTGTGTTTTGAAACCCCAATAATATTCTTGTTGAAATGTACCGAATCATGTTACACCTCAATATTCTGATTTCTTCCTGTATGAAAATTGATTGTCAACATTCTTGTAAAAGTATTCGTTTTGTTTATTTCTCAAAATCATTGTGTCAATAATATCGCACACACAGGAACTGCTTTTGGTATTTTAAAGGTTGTTCTCTGATTTTTCCGTTGAAAATATTAGTATCTTCGTCCAGGATCAACAGGACACTTTCGCTAGAGCACTACATTTCCAACTTGTTGAAATCCAAAAAATTATACCTCCAAAAATACTAGGAACCAACAGCTTTTTAAGTTGTTGTTCTTTTTTTTGACAATAAATAAGGTTATAAGTTTAGTAAAAACAAAGTCAGAAACCTCCATAAGGACAAGATGGCGACAATCGACCGGCAGGCGTTTATCACTGCCGACAGAAAGGGAGGCCTGTTGGAGTGGTACGATGTGGAGACCAAGGCCATGGGTACCGGAACCTACGGCTCAGTCGTCAAGGCTATCGAAAAGAAGACCAAGACCGTGCGAGCATGCAAGGCTATGGCGCGTACCACTTATATTTTGCGTGTTTGACTTTATTTCAATTCCAGAGGAAGTATGTTTGATCAGGAAATATACATCTGAATCTGAACTCGGAAGTGATATGCAGGAATCAATCTCTAGTACTACAACTACTACCAGCTAAACCTCCAATTTCGATATTGTCCTTACCTACCTACCTATCTTCCTACCACCTTTTTCAGGAAAAAACATCAAGAACGAGAACCGTTTCCGTGAGGAGATCGCTTTGATGAGGAAGCTTGATCATCCGAATATTATTCGCTTGTTTGAGACGTTTGAGGATCATAAAAACATCTACCTGATTCTAGAGTTGTGCACTGGTGGCGAGCTCTTCGATGCCATCGTGAATGCGGGTAATAAGATGTTTTTCCGTTTTAGTTTCCCCTGTGATGGTTAGATGTTACTAGCATTTGATGATTTGGGTGGATAATGTCACTAGCCTTTGATGATTTGGGTGGATAGAAGATGCTTACAGACAACTAAATCGTAAAAACCAAGCTCTTGACCGACTTACTGTTTTTAACTTACGTCAATCACTACCGGACAATCAAAGCAACAACGGACCACGCCCTCTACAACAGCGTCATCTTCGTCTTCAAGGTCATGGTTATACTAGTGGCCTCTTCTACATAGAAGTTGTACGAGTACTACATAGATGCTCATATATAGATTTAGACTGAAGATTTTATACAAGCGAGCTCGTATAAAACTAGATTAGTACTGAAGACGGTCTGCTAGTCTCTCTGTTGATTACCGTCTAAGACTCTCATTATTATCGACTTAGATACTATGTAAGTAGTTGTACGAGTACTACATAGATGCTCATATATAGATTTAGATACTAAATGTAAGTAGTCCAAAAAATAACAACCAAATCGTAAAAACCAAGGTTTCTTGACCGAGAAGGATGGCGCTGTGTTGGTGAAACAAATGCTTGCGGCTATTTTCTACCTTCACGACAATCACATCATGCATCGAGATTTGAAACCGGAGAACTTTCTGTTCTATTAAGGCTGTACCTAATACATCTTTGGACGCATCCTTGAAACGTATGGAGGAGTATCCTAAGGGAATACTCCTCCATACTTTTCAAGGATGCACTTGAAAGATGAATTACGGACAGCTCTAATTCTACAACAAGGAAGCCGGAGCGCCCTTGAAAGTCATCGATTTTGGTCTGGGTGCCAAATTCAACAAGGGAGACCGAATGGCAACCAAGGCAGGTACACTACAGGGACGATCTAAGTAGTTTAATACTTGTTTTCAATCAATCATGTTCATGTAAGAAGTTACATTAAATAGACCACACTTCTTGTTAAACTTTCAATGGTCATGACCACACTTGTCAAACAGTTTCACCACCACGCGCACCTGCACGTTCACCCCTTCAAATTCTCACGAGACATGAAGACATGATACAGCAGGATATCTATTGCACGTAAGTCCCCGTCCCGTCCCCCTTTACCTCAGGAATAGGCACATCAATCACTCAATCTTCACCTTGGTCTGCAGCAATCTGGCACAGCAACATGAAACAGAAGGCACAGCCAAACATCAGCAAATTTAGCAAAAGGTCCACCAACAGCAACATACTGCATCTTCACCAAATAACAAATAACGTCCACCAACAGCAACATACTACATCAACAACAACATCAAATAAAGGTACACCGTATTACGTTGCTCCCCAAGTCCTGAAGGGAGATTACAACGAAAAGTGCGACATCTGGAGTATTGGTGTCATTACCTTTATCCTCCTCTCCGGGTACCCGCCATTCTACGGCGAAAAGGACAGCGAAATTCTCGCGAAGGTACCTTGACAGATCTTTTTGAATTTGAATTTGGATAATTATGCCAAGAACAAGATTTTGAATAGTGCGGGAATAGTACATTAAGAAGTGCGGGTTAAGAGCAATATTCCCAAATATAAAGATAAGGGAAATTTAGACTTTCGGTATTTTGTTGAAAAAAGGATAGAATGGAATACGCATCGCTCTCTTAATGCAGGTCCGCAAGGGTGCATTTTCTTTCCCAACTGAGGCTGAGGATGGCGTCGAGTTCAGTTCCGGCATCAAGGATCTGATCACAAAAATGCTTGCGTTCCAGGAGGACGACAGGGTATAAGTCTTTTGTTTTTTGTTAGGAAGATCGTTCCTTGAATTCTAAGGCTCTCGAGATTGTTCCAGCTGGACTTGCTCATGATCAACAATCACTTACGTCTGGGTTACAACATCCAGGAGCATCAGGCTAATTTTTTTCCTGGTTGTATAGGCTGCTCTAATAGTACTAGAGTACCTGAGACTTATACCTGAGACTTTAATAGTTGTAGACCTCCATTCATTTCAAGATCTACATATTAAATGTGCTAGTTTCTAGCGATTCCCTTTTCCCTCACGTTATCCCTCCCACTACCTCCCTCCCATTACCTTCCTCCCATTACCTTCCTCCCATTACCTCCCACACCCCACAGCCATCCGCCCAAGCCTGCTTGGAGCACAAGTGGTTCGCTGCTATGGCTAACGCCGAAAGCCACGAAAAGGTCTCCACCAAGGCTATCTCCAACCTGAAGTCATGGCACGGAACTCAGAGGATAAAGAAAATCGCACTTACCGCTATCGCCACTAGTTTGACCGAGGCAGAGATCGGCAGTCTCAAGGAAACTTTCCAACTTTTGGACAACAACGGTGATGGAACTCTCACGCTCGAGGAAATCAAGTACTCCTACTTGATATTTGATCGATATAAGTTTTCAAAGCATTATATATACTGTATCTTTTTCTTGAATAAATCTATCCCCAATGAATTTCAAAATATGCGATTTCAGGCTTGTTCCCCGTTCCTTTGTTCGATTGTTTTTTTTTTTCTCCGAAAATTGTCAAAACTCATCTCAATCCTTGTCCACACTCCTCATTGCACTGTGAAAATAACTCATCTTATACTATAAACCCATCTCAAGAATGATCCTTCTTCAAAGACAATCCCCCTCTACCAATTCGCCTAAACAGGGCTGGTTGCAAGCAGCATTCAGTTTCGCTGCCATCGAACTTTGACGAGGTTTTTCTGTCCATCGACAGTGATGGCAGCGGACGCATCGATTACACGGAGTTCATAGCTGCGACTATGGAGACCAATTTGAGTCATCGTGACGACCTCCTCTGGGCTGCCTTTCGGGTACGATATAAACTACTCTTGAATTGATAAGAATTTATTACCTTCGTCTACAACGGCACCGACTTTACTCAGGTCACCTGCCTCGGTGCATGTCGTCGACTTTACTCAGGTCACGTATACATCCTCAGAGTCGAGCCAGGTGCCGGGGGGCTTCGATGTGCAGGATTCACAACCTAGCCTAACCTTCTGATCGATGACCCAATAAGACGCTAATTATCCCTGACTTATTAGATATTATTACCTCAAGAACTACTGTCAGAATAAGACTCTTCATCTTTGAGATTACACTGAGTTTTTTGATATTCTAAGGTCCTCTACCTGCTTATTACCTCATAACTTCATTTTTTTTCTTTCATCTCAAGTACGGGGTTAGTCTAATGTTGTCACTCTCAACATCATAACATCTCTCTCTCTCATCAACAGCTTTCATCTCCTTCTTGTTCTATTAAGTCCTGCGAACGACCTCTTGCTAGGTAAATGAATGAATGAATATTACTAGGTATTCGACGTGGATAATGATGGTAAGATTACCGTTGACGAGCTTGCCCGCGTGATGAAGGGGGACGAGATGCAGACTTCACTCCCCAAGGCAGAGCTGCAGAAGATCGCAAACTTGATGGTCGAGTACGACACCAACAAGGATGGCTGCATCGACTTCGATGAGTTCAGGGAAATGATGCGTGACAAGTAGCTTTTGGGGTAGAGGGGTTTTTTCTTTCGTGCGCAATTAAGTAGAAGATGACCTTCGGTGGAAATGGAATGATCCACAGTAGCTATATTTGGAAGAGTACGAAGAACAGCAGTTAAAAGATAACGGTCAAACAGTATATGAGCAACTCCTTGATAATGAATGTCGTAAAAGCAACATTATTTATTGGTGATAGGTTACGCCTTTTGATGTTAGATTTATATGATGTCAACTTCTGGCAAGGCTATGCTTTGTCCTTAATCAGTCAAAAATCTAGTCCCTTCACAATTATATGGTGTCAACTAAAACTGTCAGCAGATAGATTTGCCTATGCTTATACTTGTCTTCTCGCATAGTTTTCGCATCAAAACTATACTCAGGCTCTAGTGAGATTGAGTTATACGCAAACAAGCTAAAGAAGCTTCTGAATAGGTGGTTCCGTGGATTACACACATGACATGTAGTAAGTAGCATTACCGTAATAACGAGTACAATCGTATTGATGAACATTTAGCTTTCCCGAAAAAGAGCAGTATTGTGATCTAGTAAGAAAGAAACGGATGATTTAAAGATTTAAAGACCAAGTTCTGCTTAGTCGAACTCTTCCTCGCTGTGTGTCCTCTTTGTAGCTGCTTGGCTTCGACTTCTTATGTTGTAGGAATATATTTTGTGTGAAGGATTATACTTTATGGGGTGTCTTCTAGTCTCGCACACAATAGTCCTCGACGCAGAGATTGGAGCAGCTAGAGGTTAGACAAAAAAGTAGAATATGACTCCGTGAAATCTGCAAAAAGCTTAATCTTACCTCTTCCCACTAGATGTACTTATAATTGTGAATAGAATTTTTATGAGATCCACCTATGACTATATGTTCTGTAGCAGTGAGTATGCAACGACTGGTGCAACATAATTAAGTATCTATAAAAATGATGAAAATCCATCTTCACATTGTGATCAATTAACGAACCCCGACAGCCCCAACCAGCTCTTAGAAATTGCGGGAAAAGAAGATGAGTAGTTAGTCCATCGAAAATCATTTTCGGAAAAACCCGCTTCGAATAAGAGAGAGGATACAGGTTTACCTTGTGGAAGGTTGATCGAATCCTCTCCTATCCTAATATAAAGTTTTTAGAACTTGTGTACCAACATCACCTAACCATCACCAGTGGCATAACAATAAGGTTGGGGGCTCAACAGGATTTCTTTTTCCAGAGTAAAAATGATGGTTTGGGGACGTTCCCTTGCTGAACCTTATAACGTTTCAGTTGGTCCTCGTTTCTACTCAGACTCGCGCGTAGGCGGGGGAACTTGTATCCAATGCAAACGCACGACATTGTCAGTATATTGAAGCTATACTAACAATGAGTCCATCGAACCACGCTCCCACAAAGAGTCCATCGATAGTCGTACTATTTTCTCGTATGGTGCAGTCGCTGCGAAGCGATGTCCGCATGTACTGTCACCGAAGCCTAATCCTGGGAGCGACATTGGTAGTACAACTACAACGTGGTCAGTGTCAGTGTCCACCATTGTTAGTAGAGCTTCAATGTCCACCACCACCTCGTCTACCTGGCAGTACTCAGTGGGGAGCCATTCCGTACAGTTGCAGCAGCTGTTTCCTCGAGAACGAAGCTATCGTCGCACCATGCGATAGAAGTCTCTCGTCTGACCCGTAAAAACAACTACAGTCAATGCAGCTGCGACAAGGCTACCTAGAGAGCCCATTAGGAGGTCGCCAGATTTTTACGGACTTAGTATCGATGAATAGGTAACCAATCTGAATACGATAATGATAGAATCTGAAATCTAAAGCCAAACCACCAAGCAGCCCTCTTTTGCGCGCTCTTAGTGAGAATTTTTTACTTGAATATCGGTATTCATAGAGTTAGATAACTCTGAATAATAGAGAGTACCTGAAGACATTATAATGAACACAAGAATACTAGGAATAGTAAGTAGATGAATGTTTATCTTATAGTTTTACGCCGCTCCCCACTGCGAGGAAGATAACAAATTGTACTAGTTCACGAGAATTGATGCTGCATGAGTAGAGATAGATACTGGGGGAGAGGCTCCTCAACGCTTGTAGTCGATAAATTCAGAATTCTGATTGAAATGCACTAATGTTTCGCAGTATTTTGAGGCTGACGCGCCAGATAAATCTACTTGAAGATTTTACGTTTGAACATACGATAACATCAACATTTCTTACTATGATTACATCCAACGTACAACGATCCACTGGTTCTCCTGGAAATATTAAGATTGATGCGCAGTATGAGTTTGAGTATGTGTATGTCCTCCATGTCCTCCAAAGTCTACGCTTTTATTGCCTCGACTTCTAGTTTGCTTCATTATAAAACAGAGTATCTATTGCTGGATCGTGTGTTGCTATCATGTGATAATTTGTTATATTAAGGTAAAAACAGGATTTGGATTCAGTAATGTGGTAAAAAGCTGGTAGCTGTAACAAAAAAGATTAACATTTCTAATGTCCCTATCATTCAAACGAAGGCTGTGGCCAGGTATTAAAACACTTCAAGTGACTTGTGATTTTTTATCCTTTTTCTAGATCACGACAGCGAAGATACCAGCGAAGTAATGGTACTATGGGCACGACCCAATGTGGCACTAGGAGCTTCGACAACAAATTGTTCCATCGTACTCGCGGCATCATTTGGTGCAGTCTCATGTCTGTCGAAAGAGAATACTCGTTGTCGTCATGGGTAAACAGTCCATATCGGTGGACTGCTCTAATTCGGTACGATGAAAAGGTCAACAGTCCTTCGGTTCTCGACTTGTTGCGTCGCGTCGGTCGATCGATTCATATCAAGCCTAGGTTTCTAGGACTAGCTTGCGCACCCTTCCCCTAACGCACCCTTCCCCTAGCGCACCCTTCCCATCAGCGCACCCTTCCCATCAGCGCACCCTTCCCATCAGCGCACCCTTCCCATCAGCGCACCCTGCTTATGACCACTTGCCAGGCACATCAATCATTCAATCAACCATCCTCCAGTGTTGAGGTCTGATTGTCTCATGTATCTCCTATAGTGAGAGACCAACTTCTGTAGGAGGTACTAATATATATGACCAACTGTAGGAGGTACTAATATAGCAGAAGATATTTCTACTATAGAACATACTTCTTCTACGCATAGAGCATCTAGAGCTTTTTCAACCTAGAGCTAAATCTCCTCCAGAATGGATCACGGTCGGGCTTTTCCGGTCACAGCGTTCGATCGGGCGCACGTAGAGGGAGTCAACCTCTACGCGCGACCACCTGCGCCATCACTTGAGCTACGCAGAGCAAGCACACCACAAGTATCATATTTCGTCTTATCCTGCTGTTTCGTCTGCGTCTGTCGTGTTTCGCCCCTGTTGATGAGCTAATTGCTAGGCTAAGCAAATTGAAATAATTGAGACTTGTTCCACTGCTGTGTCATTGATTTTCTTGTACTCGGGTCTCAGAGTCGGAGTAGACCTAGCCGCGGTCTCAGGGTAGGTAAACCTCGTACATTTCTTTCCTTTCTTACAAGGCCTGAACCGTCTTGAACCTTCATCCTCAACCTTCATCCTCCAGGTCGATATCGCATGGAACGCCCGACTAACAAGGATAGAATACAAGGCATCGAAGAGCAGCCTGACGAGACCTAGCAGTCGACAGAGTGACACCTTCACAGCAGAGGGACGACCACCATGGAGCTTTCAGTTCAAATTACGGAAATGATCTATTCGAAAACTCAAAATAAGCGAGTTGCTGACTGAAATAAGAGGGTCTTGACTACTTACTAGTACACTCCTCTTCTTTCAGTATCTCCCTTATTTTCAATAGTTACTCGGTTACTTCAATTTAATATCGATTACTTCTACCCGAAGATACTTCTCCTTCTTGGTTCGACTTCTTTCCTCTAATCTCAGCGAGTCAAACCAAGGAGAAGTATCTTCGGGTAGAAGTAATCGATAAACTGAAATAATCTACTTCTATTAAGGCTACAGTAAATGCATCTTCCCTGGCATCTTGGTCCCGTTTCTCAAGGGAAAACGGGAACCAGGATGCTCACCAAGATGGATTTATGCTAGGTCTAGTTCTACCCGAAGATACTTCTCCTTGGTTTGACTTCTTTCCTCTAATTTCAGCGAGTCAAACCAACTCGGCACCAGCGAGTCAGGGATCCTCATGGACAGGTGGAGGCGCATTTCATGGGAGCAGCGGCGCATCGATAGGCAAGGCAGTGCCAGACGCATTTGTATTCACATTCAGTCTTATCTTATTTATTGTTATATTTAGGGAGGTATATGTTTTTTGACTATCTAAGGTAAGCATATTATAGGAGGGTAGTTTTAGATTCATTTGTATTCAGTTTTATCTTATATAGGTTAGATTGTTATTCATTTGTTCAAGAATATCACTGTGGTAAAATACGATAATCATGGAGGAAGACAAGTAATGAGACTTAAGATTTTCAGGACAAACAATAGTAAAAATATTATTCTGTTGTCACACACGTCTTGTTCCATTAAAACAGGGCGAGCTCCATCGGAGAATGCGAGAGAAGAAGGAAATTTACACCCCATGGTACCTGAGGACGAACCAGCGTAGTGGTCAGAAGCTCGCCAGCAAGGAACGAACTAAGGGCCTCTACTCCTCTGCATCCTCGGATCTGTTGTGGAGATACTAGATCTATTGTGGAGATGATACTAGATGGCTCTGTACTAGCGTTTGACTTTGAACTCATCAAATCCAGAGTATGGAGCTCAAGGAATTCTTGTCCATAGGGGTACTACATGACTAGAGCCGGACTATTTTTCTTGTACTGAATTTCATCATCAACATTTATTACAGCTCTGTTAGTTTGTACTATGTGCATCAATGTTTGGATTGCTTCATTTTTCGGGAAAAATAGAACTGTTATCGTTAGTGTGCTGTGACCATCATATAATGTAACAAAAAATGTAAAAAACTTCTGCGTTAGCGCATGAGGATTTGGTTCTTATTATTATCGTTTAGGGTCGTCTTGTACTTAAATTGCTGGCAGCACGACGGAACCCCTCAGATGATTACTGGTGGGAGGAGTGGGGGGTCGGTGCGTAGCTCATTGGGAAACCTGTATCTGCAAACTGTATCTTTTTTTGTGACTAAGAAAGTCGTAGGTCAAATCCGAATCAAGACGCTAATTATGAAGAACTGAATGAATTGCAGAGTCCGAGTTCTGGCTACTGGAGAAGGTCCACCATGTGGATCTCCTGTGACAGACAGTGATAAAAGACGTGCCTAACCGTCACTCAGATCTCCTGTGACAGGTCAGATCACTCTAAATTCAAGCAAGTAGATCTAGACTTCACCACTCAAGAGACAGGACGGCAAAGAAGGGCAAAATTAAGGGAACTTCTAGAAGGGGTTGTTGCAATAGTTCCCCATCAAGAAAAGGTCAGCGTCGAATATTCCAAGATCCAAGTCCACGCTCTTGTAAATGACGAGGGTCTATACTAGGAATCCATATTTTTTTTTTGCAAACTACTACTACAACTACTACGACTACAGTTCTTGCATCATCATCTACTCCCGTTGGTTCCGAAAATTTTGCAGGCGACAATGAGCGAGTAACTGTTACTACAAGCACTTCTAGGCTCCTCTTCTTGGTGTGAAAAAACTTTGTTAGTTTGCTTTAGAGGGATAAACAGTGATGAAACTCACACAAATGAATACTGCGTAGAAGGCTATTAACAATAAAAAGCAGGAGAATCTTCAGCATGGCGATGTTTGGTCAGTTCGTTCTGGGTCCGCCTGGCGCGGGTAAGACCACCTACGCCCACGCGATGCAGCAAATGTGTCTGGCTATGAAGCGGCCCTACCTCGTGATCAACTTGGATCCCGGTAACGAGTCCTTGCCTTACGACCCGGATAACGTGATCGACGTGAAGGAACTTATTACGGTCACGGATGTTATGGAGGAGTTTGGGTTAGGACCTAACGGTGCTCTCATTTACGCAATGGAGTTTGTGAACGAGCACCTGGAGGAGTGGCTGTTCGACGCGCTAGCTGCGTTCCCGCATTGGCGCAGTCGGTACTTGATCTTCGACCTGCCGGGTCAGGTGGAGCTGTACTTACACCACGAGGTGATGAAGCTTTTGACGACGAAGTTGTGCAAGCGGCTGGACTTGAGGCTGAGCTGCGTGCATTTAGTGGACGCCACGTGGTGTCGCGACGCGGGCGCGTTTTTAGGCGGGGTTTTAACCGCCTTAGCCTGCACAATGCACTTGGAGCTACCACCAGTGAACGTCTTGACGAAGATCGACTTGATGAGAGATTTCGCAAAGGATCTGCCGTTCCGCCTCGACTATTACTTGGGGGTAGACGACCTTTCGCACCTACTGTCGACTGCTGGTGCACTACGAGATGCGTGGATGGCGGATCTACGAGAATGTCATGACATCACTTCTAAATCTTCGACAACCGGTGCTACAACCGGTGTTGATAATGAGCTGGATAAAAGTTCGGATAAGCGTGTACAGGAAAGATATCTAGGTGACATCGTGGAGAACAATGTTGTAGAGGGAGAACAAAGCACCACAGCGGCCACAAAAGTAGAAGTAAATACAGGTCGTGGGGAGCAAAAGACAGAAGAGAAGCTTGCCACAGCGATAGCAAGTATCAAAAGCGGCGTTGCGAGTGCGGGGAAACAAGCCGCTTGTGATGCGAAGAACGACGCTAAAGTTAGCACGGCTACAACAGGAGCAGTATGTACTAGTACATCTGATAAGCAAGGCGGCGGAGCAACTCCATCGTCATCGTCATCCTCATCTTCTTCGCAGAAGAACTCGGTGGCGCCTTTGTTCCGCCACCCGCTTTTCCGTAGGTTTCGAAAATTTTATGAGGGCTTGGCAGAAATCATCGAGGAGTATAATCTAGTACGATTCGAGCCTCTAGACGTGAACAACAAGGAGTCGGTCTACCGCGTCTTGCTTCGCTGCGATCAGTGCAACGGCAGAATATTCGCTGAGAAAGCTAGTGGCCTTGTCGACAAAAAACGCAAGGAAGCAGGTCTAGGTGAAGAAGACGGCTATGCAGATTTCGGCAATGCTACGGAGCATGACTACAGCTCAATGATGCGTGAAGCAGTGATGGCGGACAGTACCCACGACTACTGCGAATACCTAGATCGACTACAGGAAAAATACCTGGACCCCATTAATGATGAGCAGGACGACAAAAAAGACGGAAAATCTCCTCCAACATATTTGAACTGAAAATACGTAGATGCTCGTTCATATTTGAGGTGCTCCCGTCATCTCCATTTTTCAGACAACGAACTGTTGTACTTAACTCTATTCACCTCTGCCATTAATTTCAAAGTTCGTGTTGTCCTGGTTCTGGCTTTTGCATTGCGATTACCTCTGAGTTTCTGCGTGTTCACTCTAGCACTTACCTGTCTAAGAACCCGAAACCTCAGTCATCGAAGACAACGCAACAAGGGCAAAGCGGACTCAAAAATACTATAAGTACAAAAGTGTACTAGAACTAGATCTCGATTCTTGAAGAGATGAAGGCACAAAAAATGTTGTCAAGTCTGTCCTGAGAGACTTCAGAGAGAGACACACTATCTAAAGGGATACTTATCCACCTTGAGCCGCGAGTGCGTTTCAAGGACGGCGACGTCCTTCACCTTCCCAAAAACAGAAGCGAGGACGTGCAAAGGCTGCAAAAAGACAAAATCGTAGCAATTCCTAGCTCAAAAGGGTGATAAAACAGTAACGAATAGCACGAAGTAAAGATTTGAATACTAAAAAAGACTCCTTTTCTAGTGATAAATACAAGCATTAACTTTCCGCGTACTTGCTTGATGAAGCTCTAGTATAATAGTGACCAGATCTGGCGCGGTTAAAAAAGACATGGCATTTATTTCCTCATGGCTCTTGGATGGCCTCGAGCGCAGCTCATATCCTCGCAGGTGAGCCCACTCCTCCTATCCTACGACACTGAGGGGAGAGCAAAAAGGGAGCTTTGATTTCTCCCCGCTTCGCCTGGAGTGGATCAAAGGTTTTAGAATCGCCATCCTCGTAAATTACAATCGAGGCGATTCTCCTAAGGGCGGCAAACATCATAAGGCGATACTCGGAGCAATGGCGTCGGAAAGTCGGAGCATGCTGCCGCATCGGCCGCGTAGTATGCGGGGGGCTCAGTGTATGCGGGCCGCTCGCAGGCAGCTGACGTTTTTGGCCTTCAGCTGCGCTTGTGAGGTGCTCGCGAGACAAGCAGCGAAGAAAGAAGCAGCCGCTGAGCAAGGGTATAACGATTTTAGTGAATATTTTTTGCCTGCTTCCTTGTACTCAAGGACGATTTCGTAAGAGAGCAAGACGTAAAAGAGCAACAATCGAAATGGTACCTTACACGACTGTACAAAAAGAATTTCAAGTATTGATACGAATAGCACTACAAGAACCATGAACACTGATTGAATTATACCCACGAGGTCCTCTCCCGAAGGAAATGAAGCACCTGAACCACTATCGCAATATGAGGGTTCGCGTTTTACGATGTTTACTGCCTTCGAATACCAGTTCTTGTGGATCGTGTACTTTGCAATCATCGTAGCAGGCTCATTGGGGTGGATGATTTTGCGCTTGTGGATCTACCGAAAATTTGAGGAACCACTAGAAAACGAGTCGGACGAGGAGGAGGCTGATGGCTCTGTTATGTCGAAACACGCTGCTCATAGTTACAATGCTCATGAACAATAAAAGGAGAACTTCACACAAAATAAGCAGCAACAAGCTTGATCCGATCATTATACTCAGGTAGCAACTTATTTACTGGTACTGATGATGCATACCCTTACTCAGGTAGCATAATTTCGGTCTAGTGAAGCTCAGTGAGATGTGGTAAGCACGTCTTTTTATGTCTTGTCGACTAGAGACGACCACTAGGACATTTATATTGATTACATTCTGGAGAACAACTCAAGCAATCTATCCGGCGTTGCCATTAGTGACTCGAGAAGGTCTAATGTATCATCACGCGGCGCCGGACTGGGATACGTGGTTTTCGTTGGGCAAAAGGTCCGAACAAGAGGATCGCAGATTGTACTCGGACTGTCCTTCTTGTTGTGTTAAGGCTCGTCTGTTGATCTCTTTGATTTGACAAGACGGCAGTAAAAATCTGCTTACCAATGAAGAATAGATGCGATACTTTTTTAGTTCCTTCATCTCGCCCTTGGTGCTTGTTTCTCATAGAAAGAACACTTCTACGCACGGAAAAAGCAGCTCTAATTACTGGCCCTTTTCGTCGGCTTTTCGTGGTATGCGACGGACCTGAGAGCTCATATTTGGATTCGCGACGAAGAAAATATCAGGCTGCTAGAAGACGAGATTGTGGAAAAAGTACTTCTTTTTTCACCACACACTTACCCTATAGATTTAAGAAGATTCGATTTCTTTCGTTTCTACTTGGGGCAGCGGCTCTACTCGAACGTGTAGATAGGATCATATTATATCAACTCTACTCTCAAAGAAACCAGTTCTCAAGCGTTGCAGTAGTTTCTCCAAACTCGTCACCACCAGTTAAGCGTTACAGTAGTCGGAGATGCTGCGGACGTGGTGAAGCCACTAGCTATCGAGGCAGTAGAGTCAGACCTTAGTCCTACAGCGGGGGCTATGAGAGCTGTACTGCATCGCTGGGAGACTAGGACGGGCAGAAGACGAGTTTGCACAGCGACTGGCCGTGAAAATGATGTACAACTTAGACTCTATCAACCTAAAACGGTGAACTTGTTCCTCCTACACTTTTTTAGAGTCATGAGAATGACGCACTTCCTACATTTGATATTGCTGTCGTGCACTATGACGTCCAAGGCCCATACTATCCGCCTACACTCTTTTACTTCTAATTAAGGCTCAACTTTCGTTGGTCATCGAGGTTGGTCACTGACAGCGAAGAGGCGACCCCTTGAGAGAACAGGGGAAAACTACGGGCACAAGGGGAGAGCTCTGTAAGGGGCCTCGTCCCGTTCTGAGTCAGTGATCAATGACTGCTGACCTTTAATCTGATGTCTCTGTCTTAAATCGTAATCGGCAACCTAGGAACTTCCTGATCTTCACAACTGATCAGGTGACATATGGGTCGCCAGTAGTCCTTGCTCCGATCGGTGAAGCGGATGAGTCGTGTCCTGTCGCAGGTGAAGACTCCGCTATTTGGCTTATGACTTTGATTGCAATTTCCAAAAGCTGTATCGTGGACTTGGAGTTCAATTGATGTGCTCTACAATTCTTTTTAGCTATGTGTGTCATTAGAGATAGATGAGAAGTAAAGAGGCTCACTGTTTTTAGTGACTTCTATAGTAGATACTACAAAAATATTAGCGGCTCCTATAAAAGGTAAAGGACCGAAAGCACGCAATTCAAATTCCCTTATGCGTACACTTATTTATTTTTCTAATCCTCGTCAGAAGAAGGATCTGCACAGCTACACCTCTTTTTTCTAATCCATAGAAGCAAGGATCAGTACAGCGTATACACTTCATTTTTCTAATTTTCAGAAGCAAGGATCCGCACAGAGAATTGCAGCTGTGCAACCGGTCTTACCGCGTTTCCTTTGTGCGGCTGTTATATTCGACAAGGTAATCCGTCTTCTGCGCATACCAGGCACCTACGGCTTAGGACTAGGTGATGCAAATTTTCTCCTAACACAGCTGGCAGAGGACAGGATCTTAATCGAAATCCCTGAAATGGGTGGTAGTGAGGACAATGCAGAGCAGGAGGAAGAAGTAGAGAAAGGAGAAGAAGTAGAGAAAGGAAAAGATGACAAAAAAGAAGCAGAGGAAGGCAAAGAAGACGGCGCAAAGGGAGAAGCCCCCGGTGAGAAAGGCGGTGGTGATGAGAAAAAAGAAGTTGAGAAAAAAGAAGTGGAGAAAGAAGCGAGTGGTGAAGATAAGAAAAAAGGAAAAGCTGAAGAAGAAACGAAAGACAAAGTAGAGCAGTCGAAAAAGAGCTCTAGCTTTTCGTCTTCTTTTATACAACAACAACTGCGAAGAAAATCAGAGGATAGTTCGAATTCGCTGTTCTGTGCAGTGTCTGGGAGTGAATACGAAATCGGCCTTATTCCCGAAATGGCGAGCGTTCGCCTCTACCAAGAAGAGGCTGATGAGTCACCCTCTTATGACTTGTTTTTCAAACTAGTATTTGCATTTTTTCATCAAATAGCCATTTTTTTTTCCCTTATATCCTAGTTAAGTCCCTCCATCCAAATTGTATTTTCTCATCAACCAAGTTTGATTTATTTTTAGTAAACTGTCCTGTAATGAGGATTCTTTTCATCTCGTGCAAAATAAGACTCATCTTGACTATCTAAGGATCAAAAGCTTATTTATAGTAATAACTGTTGGTTCACGACCTCTAAATCTAATCTTTGACTCTTCCCTCATCGCTCGCGATTACTGCGGGACTCTATTCGGGGATACTGGCGAAATTAGACTTAAGGCTACCGCTGGAGCATCCTCAACACCATCCTTAGCCCTTTTTTCAAGGGGAAAAAGGGCCGAGGGAGGCTCTCAGGGATGCACGTCGGTACCTCTAATAGACGTAGCTGTCAACGGACTGGATGGCGAGGTAGCAGAGGTTGAGCAGACCTTGGCGCAGCTGCGAGTCCCCACGGAGCTAAGCGCAGCACATGCTCTCGTAGCGAAATTAGAGGAACAACAGGCGGCTGAAGAGGTGGGAGAGGAAGATGAAGAAGGCGAGGAGGATTAAGGGTAGGTTAAAGGTGCTTTTCTTACCGCTTTTTATGCCTCTCTCCCTTAGGATGAGAAAGGCATAAAAAGCGGGGTAAGCGAGCACCAAAAACCTACCTCTAAGAGGAGGCTGCCGAAGGTAAGGGCGCTGATGACGTCGAGAAAAAGGACCCGCCCTCATCATCTTCTTCGTCGCTCATGCACGAAAAGTCCTCCTCTTCGTCGTTCATGCACAAGAAGTCCTCCTCTTCGTCTGGGCACAAGAAGTTCTCCTCGTCACGTTCACGCGTCGCTTCGTCGCGCATCTGGAAAGCTGGCAATGGATCACGAGAACGCGAACAAGCTTGGTTACAGCTTCGACATAAGAAGATCCGCAAAGCCAGCGCGAACGCCAGGCGGAAACGACGACGCGGCACTTCGAAGAGTGGCAACGATCCAAAAGGCGCTGTTGAAGTTACGGTGGATCTCGGTACTGAATCAATAGTTTCAAAAAAAATGAGCCATCAGTTCGAGGTCTTCATACTAGCTTGGAGCGTCCGATAACATCCCTCCCACTAGGATCCCCCTCCTCCCCAAAATAAGAAACCAAACAAGGCAAAGATGTAAGCGATACGCGTTCTCAAATTT